CTTTTCAACTGGTCTGAACAGCTTTCCATGGAAACAGGAATCATCTCCTTGTCATTTTTTAAAGCAGTACATTTAATGGAACAGCTGAAACTTGCATGTGCTCTGTAACAGAAAATAATTTAAGGTAAAATATCTGATATTTATTTTGTTTGGAATCTGTCTTCCGATACAGCAAAGCAAGGCAAAAAATATACCTTTATACCTTTCAAGCCATGTGCATGGAATTTTGAAGTGTTTCTTTTCATTAAGAATATAATTGCAATACTGAAATAATTACAATACTGAAATTGGGTGTGAAAATCAGACACTGCATGCCAGAAGTCTTGAAAAACCTCTTGGGGCAAAAGGTAAAGCACTTCATGGGAAACGAGAACTTTCCTAAGAATTAATTACTGTAATAGAAGAGAATTCTCCAAATGTTGAGAAGCCAGGAAATCACCTTGTCCTCTTAAAGGCAGCCCTGCTACACAACCTAATTTCCAGTCTAGGCATAAAACCAAGTGATTTCAGGCGTGTTGGAAGGGGTTAAATCCCTGAGAAGTCTCAGAGCATTTAATTCGTTGGGCATTGGGAGCCACCTGAGTGTGAGTGAGGGGGAGAGAGGGAGATTTGGGCACAGCACTTTGCAAGGACCATTCCTGGGGAGAGCCTGCGAGGGGCTCAGTGCTGGGAACATGAATAAACATTTCTTCCTGACTGCCAGAAAACACAAACAGCCCAGTTCCAAGCCAGAAACTGCTCGAGGCACCTCTGCAGCTGAAAAACCTCCTCCACAAGAGCCAGGTAAGACACTTCACCTTTTTACCGGCTTGTCTCTGCAGTGAATGCATCCAGAAACTCAGGGCAGGAGCTGCTGTACCTTTCCTGCATAACAACACTGATGTCTGGCCATTTTTAATTCTGGGGGTGCTCCAAGGGTGCTCATCTCTAAAGGGAGAGCAAGAGAAGAGTTTTGCAACAGCACCTAAACTTTGAGGTTTCCCCAGTTCTAAGCTGCTTCAGCTGTGCCTCTATCAGGACTTATTTCCACCACACACAGCTGGCAGCCAACCTGCTCCAAGAAGATATTTCAATGCTGAGCTTTATTTCTTTTCTGCTGGCTGACAGATGACAGGGTTCTGCTGGCTCTCAGAGACAAACCCATTATTTGTGAGCACAATGAGTTCTCCTCTGTGGGCAGCATCCCTGCCACAATAAATCACAGGCTACATCCAGCCATTGTCCTGGAGCCAGGCATCTGCTGATTCACCAGGGAGAGGCTGCTGGGTTGGGCTTTTTTGTTTTAATGTCACCCTATAGCTTCAGATTTTGTTCTGGATTTAAGTGAAAAGTGTATAATATAATAATCTCATTTGCTGGCATTTTGACTGGAATAATGGACACTGTTCTGGTTACTAAACTGACCATTTTACACATGCATTATAAATCCTGGTTCAGGTCAGTTTTCCTCTTTAGATTAATTTATATGCACAGAAGAAATAGATCTTTGTACCTGTGTAGCCTGAACATTGAAACTCAGATGACGCCAGGTAACAGCTCTCTTTCCAGACTCATAGTTTTTTTATTGTACTAAAACCAGAAAGGTAAAAAATAGAAGAGATTTTAAGCAGTCTTGGAGGAGTTTTGGAGCTGCTCCCACATCTCTGCCAGGTGAGGTGTGATCACAGAGGAGCTGATCATGTCTAACCTGCACTTCACATACAGGTGATTGCAGATCTGGAATTGCACTTCCACTGACGCAGAACTGCCTCAAATCTTTTTATTTTTTATGCATAGGCAAAGGATTCAGGGCAAACTCCAAACCCTGACAGCCAGAGGGAAGAGAATTTCCCTCACACCTCAGATAGATGTGGATATATATATACATATATATATGGTTATCTATAAGGATGTACCAGATAGAGATGGAGACCTTGTTTCCATGGCAACAACTCAAGACAAATCCTACTAAAGATGCTGCCACGTCCTGCTTGGCTCAGATTGCTTTAGGACATGGAGTTGTTTTCACATTTGGTGGAGCTGTTTAACTCCTGCAGGAGAGCCCCAGAGCTCCAGCTGGGAAATCACTGCTCTACTGCACACCCACTCCCTGGATTTCTGGGAGCAGCAACCATGGGATCATCTATTCAGGTGACCCAGAGCATTCAATCCCATCAATATTAACACTAATTAACACTGCAAAAATAGGGCAGGCAACTAAAGTAGGTAATATGTTCTCATATAATAATATCAGGTGAATATATATATAATTTTAGGTTATATATTCTCATGTATTCTTATAAGCAGTAAATTTCTGAGGTTCACATCACCAGGAGCAAAACAAACACAGGCAGAGGGGAAAAAAAACAATACACAACTCCCAACAATTTCTGTCTTCAGAATCAATTCCTTCCAAAGGAGGAGTTGAAGGTCAAGTTGACATTGTGGCAACTGTGACACAGCAACCAAACTTCTGAGCAAGGTAAAAATACCCTTGAATAGTCTCATCCCAGCTCAGTGTCCCAGGTATAGCTGTAATTATTCCAGATTCTCCAGGGGAAATATGAAGAAAAAAATATTCAAGTACTGTCTCCCAGACAGCTGAAGCACCAGCTCAAATATTTGCTGTCCAGGGCTGGAATCTCTGACCTAAACTCCCCCCAGACTTGAGAATTTTTCCCAAGAAGAAAAGCACTGCATAAAAGCCCAGAGCTGCTCCCTCTCTGTATTCAGTAGTTCTGTGCAGGGATGCCTGAGGAAGGAACTTTGGAGTAAATATTCACGTGTGGGGTCTCTGAGTTCCCACTAAACACACCCCACAAAAAGGCTTGGCTGCTCAAATCCCATCCCTGCAGGATCCAAGGGTAAAAATCCCTGATTTTGGGGATTTTTTTCAAGCTGTAACCCTGCCACACTGTGAGCTCTTTACACTTCCAAGTTCCAGTAACGGGAGAACCTCCTGTGCAAAGTTCCAAAGTAAGCAAAAAGGGAAAAATCCTTTCAAAGTGGCCCAACCCAAACAGCAAATGCCTCATTGCTTCATATGGTTTGTGTCTACATTGCTTGGGGAGAGAGGATGTTTTCCAAGAACTGAAAACCCCCACAGTTCCTCAATCTCTGCAAGAAGAAATCCCCAGAGCAGTGTTCACCTTCCCAGGATTGCAAAGAGGGATTTGAAGCTTTTAAAGCTCTTTTGTAAAATGAAGGGTTAGTGGATGGTGGGGTGGACCAGCAGATGAGAATTTCTGCAGGCAGTGATTAAATGATGAAGAATTTAATTAAATGTGAGATTTAGGGGGAAACAAATAACAGAGCAACCCCATCCCACTTCCCAGCATGGAGCTGCCTTTGCCACAGAGGCTCCAAGGTGAGAGTGAGACTGTCAGAAATCAAAGCAGCTCTGTCTCCTTCAAAGCAATGACCAGAACAGGGCCCTTGCTGCACTGCCAGGATGATGGATGGCTCCATTCCAGTGACCACTCAAAGCTGCTCAAGACAATCAAAATTAATGATTCTGCAAATATGTCCTTTACCATTGCTGGTGCTCCTCACACAGAAAATAAGGGGTTTCTTGAGTTTTGTTGGGTTGTTTGTTTGAGTTGGGTTGGGATTTTTTTTTTCCACGTAGCACAGCAGAAGGAATAAAACTCTTAGATTTTTGGCATCTTGGTTCTCCACCTCTAAAATGGGCAAAATAATACCCTGCAGTGTCTTGTAACCATGGTGTAAGAATAAATACATTAAATCTATGAGAAAAACTACTTTAAATCTATGAAAACCACATTAAATGTACAAAAAGAGTTACATTAAATCTATGAGAATAACCACATTAAATCTACAACATTAACTACATTAAATCTACAAAAATTGCCACATTAAGTCCTGTGAGGCACCTGCAGTTTTATGGATGTCAGCCAGATAGATCCTACTTGGAGCCAGCTTAGTTGTAAAGTAAAACTGCTCAACAACAAGGAAGATTCCCATAAACACAGGAAACCAATCTTTGTCAGCTGTAAAAATTCCTGCAAACAGAAAGAAGAGATCACTTAAATCCTAATTAAATGTATAGATTTGTCCTTAGAAGTGACCCTGCCTTCTGCAGCTCTGTTTGCCATATGGACACCCCGGATCTGCTCGAGCCCTGTGTGTTTCCCATCCCTGTGTTCTCCTCCTCCTCCTCCTCAGCTGCTGGGATGAGAATTGCTGCCTCCACACCTGCCAGGAGCCTGAGTTAACATGACTCTGGAGAGAAAAAAGTGAAAGGGAAGTGCTCCCAGGGATTTTGAGGCAGAATGCTGACTGGGAGAGGTGACCTGGGCTCCTGGCAGAAGGAACTGGTGTTTATTGCTCCCAATTCTTAGAACATGGAGTGTCCATTGCCACAAAGGAATCCCTGCTCTGCCCCCCGCACCTCCTCCTGAACTCACACACAAAACTTGGAGTGCAGAGGCACAACCTGGCATTTCTGGGGTGTGAAATCCTGCAGTGAGGGGAAAACACCCCCAGCCTGCCCCTTCCTCCTCCCGGGGTCTGTCTGGAGTGGGCTGAAACAAAACCCACGGGAAACCCACCCTGCCCTTGCTTTTACTGCCTGTCCCAGCTGTTTCCAGCCAGATTTCCATGCAGGAATTGTGTGCAGTGCCTGCACCAGCCCATAAATCAGCCTGTTGGCTCACACTTCTCCCTTCATCCCACCCCAAAGCTGCCGGAGGGCTCCAGCAGGTTCCCACCTCCCTGCGAGTGCAGCGGCCGAATAACGGGATGGCTCCAGGGGTAACAGAGTCCTGGGTGGAAATCCAGGGATAACAGAATTCCGGGTGGCATCCCAGGGTAACAGAATCCCAGGCGGCATTCAGGGGTAACAGAATCCCGGGAATAACAGAATCCCGAGTGGCATTCAGGGGTAACAGAATCCCAGAGATTACAGAATCCCGAGCGGCATCCCGGGCTAACACAATCCCGGGTGGCATCCCGGGCTAACACAATCCCGGGCGGCATCCCGGACTAACACAATCCCGGGGAGCTCGGGAGAAGCCGCCGCGGCGCGGAGCGCCTCCAGCCCATCCCACTCCCTCCTCCCCCGGAGCATCTCCCTGGATCTGGGAAGGGCTCGGGGCTGAGCTCCCAAGCCTGAGCATGGCTCGGAGAAGCCTGGCAGAGCCGCAGCCTCCCGGAGCTGCCCGCTGTGCCCGGAGCCGCTGCAGGGCACCTGCGAGGATGGCATCCCGTGTCCCCTGGCTGTGACACACAGAGCCCTGCGAGGATCGCATCCCGTGTCCCCTGTTGGTGACAGAACCCTGCGAGGATCTCATCCCGTGTCCCCTGGTTGGTGACAGAGCCCTGCGAGGATCTCATCCCGTGTCCCCTGGTTGGTGACAGAGCCCTGCGAGGATCGCATCCCGTGTCCCCTGGCTGTGACACACAGAGCCCTGCGAGGATCGCATCCCGTGTCCCCTGACAGTGACACACAGAGCCCTGCGGAGCTGCCCAGCGCCACGGAGGGGTTTTGCAGGCAGCAGGAATACTGTGGAAGCGGGCAGTGCAAGGCGGCACTTTGCCCCCCTCCTTCTCTGCCTGGGAGAAAGGAGTTGCCCAACCTGGTCATGAGACTTTTCCAGACTTCCCAAAGAGGCTCCTGAAGTTGTGACACTGCTCCACGGAGAGCCCGGGGCAGCACAGCCCCCCCAGAGCACACACGCAGGCACGGGAGATGGAGAATGAGCTTGGCAAATCTGTGGACAATCAAATGGACAAATACATGTAATAATTCGGAAGTTTTCTTTCTCTCTTTGCTTTTATTCTGCTTCTTTTTTTTTTTTTTTTTTTCTTCTCCCAGTCCTGATGCAGCCGCGCTGTTAACCCTTTCTCGCCCTCCCCTCCCCGATTTAGAGTTACAATAATGGGGAAATCAGAAAGTCAAATGGATATTGTGGAAAAATCGACCAAATCTGGGAAGAAGCCCTGGAGCTTTGTGGCCATCGGGCTGGCTGTCCTGCTGCTCCTCATGACTTGTGCTGCCGTCGCCCTGGTGATCCTCTATGCCAGCAGCAGAGGTAAGAACCTGGGAATAATCTTCCCCTTCCTTCTGCAAACAGCAGAAAAAGTCCTTTTTTCTCAGAGCTAAATGGAAACAAAAATACAGGGAGACCACGAGGTCACTTCTGTGGGGGACTGAGCTCGCTCTGCCTTGCTCCCAGCTTGTGCTGGGATAAAATTTTTAATTATGCTCTGTAAGATTCTATGCTTTTATTTCATTCCATGCAATTTGTTGGATTCAGAGCTGTTTTGACAAAGCTGATGTGCTGTTTTAGAGGGAAGGTGTGTGTCTGTGTGTGAGGACTGACATTTCCTTATTTAATCCAAGCACAAGCCAAGATTCATTATTGCCAGGGTTTTTAAAGCAACAGCTGCTTTAAAACACTTCTAAAAACAATCTCCCTGAAGGGGAAATTGCTTATTACAATGTGAAAGCTTAAAAAAAAAATAAATAAATAAGAAAAAAAAAAGCCACTTGCTGCTGAGGAAAGGAGACTTTTTAAATATTCCATCAGGCAGTTGGATCTCTAAGTGTGATTTGCTTCAGTGACTTGAATGCAAATGTCTTGCCAGAAACCTGACATTGAGGCACGTTATTTTGAAGTGTTTTGCCTAAATATTTTAACTGCAGAGCACACTTGGTAAAACCAAAGTTTTCCCACTGGCACAGCAAGTGTAAAGTCCCACTTTAAAACCATCAAATGCTCGGGAGCAGCTCTGCCTCATGTTTGTCACTTCCATTAAAATCTCTTGGATTGAGAGCTTTGTTGAAACACTGGAGAATGAAATTAAAGTGGGAACAGCAGAACTGGAGCAAACACAGCAGCAAAACACACTAACTCTGTTTCCCCTGCTGCAGGGAGCTGCATTTTCAGCACTTGTGAGTGAAACACTGCACAATCCTGAGCAAAAATTCGTGAAAAAGCCTTGTTATTGTTCACTCCTTTTGCTACCAGCAGTTGAACACCAGGCAAAAGCTGAGTGTTTAGAATTCAGAAAGTTCATCAGAAAGTTTATTCCATTAGCTCAGGAGATGAGAGGAAAGAAATTCCCCAGAGCCAGGTCCTGCAGGAGGAGTTTCTGTATCGAACATTGAGCTTGGCAGGGTTTTCTGCCTGCATGCAGAAAGGATTTGAGAAACCTGCCCTAGATCCTTTGCTGGCTCCAGACAATGCAGAATTCAGGTATTAATAACATTTGCCCAAGTGTTGGTCTCATCCAAATCCAGAGGCAGAGTCTGTGCTCACTACATGTGTTTAAGGAAGGCTTAGCTGTGAGAAAACAGGTCTAAAACATAAATATTTTTCTCAGGCTCATATCTACAATTAAACTTTCACTGGAAATGTTCCCCAGACTGAGCCCTGAGTGCAGGGCTGATATTCTGCTGCCCTGTGCTCCTCACACCCCACCAGGTGTGTCCAGCTCTGCCCTGGAGCCACTTTGTGCCTCTGTCCCCATCCCACTCCCAGCTGGAGCAGCCACCAGCTTCAGGTGGGAAATGAGATTGCAGGTGGGAAAGGAAATTCCAGGTGGAAAATGAGATTGCAGGTGGGAAAGGAAATTCCAGGTGAGAAAGGAAATTCCAGGTGGGAAAGGAAATTCCAGGTGGGAAAGGAGATTCCAGGTGGGAAAGGAGCAGCAGGAGCTCCATCCCCCCGAGCACTGTCCACGTGCACTGCCTGGGTCAAGAGTTTTTTTTTTTTTTTTTGTCGTGAAAAGTTTTGTCCCAGGGCCCCCCCTTAGCTCTGTTTTGCTGTCACACTTCAGCCCATTCCCAGTGCTCAGGCAAAAGCCTCAAATCCCTTTTCCCCATGGGAAAGGCACCTCTGGCTCAAAGCTGTGCCCCATAAATCCCACGGAACAACAGGAAAAAAACAATGTGGCTGAGCACCCTTCATGTGATACAACAAACAGTCTTATCCTGGGATTCTTCTATTGCTAATTTCACTGAAATGCTAATTTTGGAATGTGTATGGGACACTGGATTGCTCACCAAGAGCAGATCCAGATTTCTCACTTCACCTTGATACACCCTTGATCAGAATGAAACTACCCAGGCTTTTAAAAATAATTTTGTTTAGCTTGTAATTAGGAATTAAATTAGAAAATTAAAGCATTGCTTTTCCTACTTTGCATTCACTTTTTACTTTTTTTTTTTATTTATTTCTAAAGGCATGTTTAGGCTTTGTGGTTCAGGGAGAATATTTTTCTGCTTGTATATATCTTGATATCTTGCAGAAGAGCACTGTGGTGCATGAAATAAGCCTGTGGGCACAGCAATAATTCCTGGAGTTCTGTTAATGCTGACTGGGATTTTTATCTCTATTCCCAGCCAACAAAAACACTCAAGCTCTCACAGCAGTGCAGTTACAGAGTTCTGGACACAATTTGGGGGATTTTTGACATCTAAGGAACTTTTCAGACCCAAAAAACATCCTCACCTAAATAAGCTGAAAGAAAACATAGGAAGAATAAAGTAATATTTGGGTGACATGCTCTCAATCCTTCCCTCCCACCCACAGCCCCATCTCAGCAGCCTTTTCACAACTCCCTCTGAGCATTTCCTGGACCCAAACCTCCTCCCTTGCTGGAAAGTCACAGCCTGAGGAACATCTCAAACCCCTCTGTAGCTGACACATCAAATCACTCAGCAGCTCCTCCAGCAACTTCCAGCCTCACCCAACTGCTGCTCCCGTAATTCTGGTTATTTCCTTGACTTTCTGGCTCTGGGGAGGGAGATCCACTGGTGTTTTTGCTGTTGTCACTGCTGGCTGTCAGGAAGCCCAAGGTCACTGCCCTCTGCTCCCCTCTTAGGCAGGCTCCAAACAAACAGAAACACAAACCAAGCAGCACCTTGTTCTGAGGGTGGATTTTTAAAAAAAGAAAAAAACAAAAAACTACATTTTCCTCCTGCATTTCCTGTGCTGAATGTGATTGTTGTGCACTTAAATAACAGATTTACATGAGCCTGCTGAGCAGGAGCAGGATCTAAACTAAAAACTGAGCTCTGGCTCCTCTCCTTCACTGCTGCTCAAATGTCCTCTGACGTCAGGAGCCTTCCCTAACGAGCCAGCTATTCAGGGGAGATGCAGAATTTCAACAAGTGGCAGCTGACACACAAGTCATGATGACATTTGGGTGGCAGGGTTCTGCTCAGTCCTGCTCAGATGGAGCCACATGGATGCAGAGCAGCAATGGGGAGTGACAGGCCATGCAGGGCTGAAAAACGAGCAAATAAACACAACAAACTCACAATTTACTGATTCTCACACCAAATTCTGGCTCAGACACGGTTATAGGTAAGAAATCTTGGGAAAGGTGGAATAAAACCAAAGACTTGTGAATTCACTGCCACCTGGCACAGGCAGCCCCGTCTGAGACAAAAAACCTGAATTTGGCAATTCCCTTGTTTGCTGCGAGCAAATTTCTGTTCTAACAGCAACAAGGGCAGCTTGCAGTGCCAACAGCACTTGTGCAGAGCAGATCTGGGAAAAGGGAAGGTAAAAGCTCCCACGTCAGTGCCTGGTGACAACCGTGGCTCTAATTGTCTCCACGTGTGCCATCCCCAGCCATCTGTGCTCCTCCAAAGGCACAGTGGGGGGACACCAAACACAAGCTGTGTCCTCCAGAGCCCTGCAGGAGCCTTGGCTTGGCTTTTGTTCTCTTAAAAAAGAGCTGCAGTAAGGCTCTGGGAGAGCAATTTGGGTTTGAAGAGCACCATCACTCCGAAGGTGAGCTGCAGAGATGCCACAAAAGTGATTTTCTGCTCCTGCTGCTGGCCAGGAAATGGGACAGGGCTCAGTGGCTCCTCTGCAGTGACCCCAGGGGGGTTGAAGCCTGTCCCAGCTCTGCCAGCTCTCAGGTGAGCAGTTCACCTCTGCAGTGCTTCATTTCCCTCATTTTCTTCCATTTGGAGCAGTCCCACAGCTCAGGTCATTTCATTTATCTGCATTAAAGTTCTCTTGCCTGATCAATTCCCTGCTGCTGCTGTGTCAGACTGAGATGGATGCCAAAGCAGGAGCCCCTCTATCACTGTAACTCAACCTGTCAGCAATGCTTAACCAGGGAGGAAAATAAATAGAGAAATACCTGTGTTTCTGCTGAAAACTTGGGCTGTTCTTCTGGAAAAGTAATTCAGATAAATAGAGACATACCTGTGTTTCTGCTGAAAACTTGGGCTGTGGTTCTAGAAAACAAAAGGCAGAATTGTTGAGAATTCAGAAGGTGCATTTGAAGTTCATTTCTAGTTTTTGGGAGGTGCAGGTGACAAAGTTCCAGTCGAGTGAGCAAAGATCTGGGATTGTAAAGCCAAAGAGGGCAGAGCTGGTCATGCCCAGAGCCTGTGGCAGGACAGGTCCTGAGGAATAAAAGAACAGAACTGACAGAGAAACAAAGGAGACACTTTTCGAGGTAAACTGAGATCTCTGCCCCAGCCATTTCCCATGATCTGGTTTTGGGGCAGAGTTTCAGAGCCCTGAGTGTGCCCTGGAATTCCAAACTCCGGCTCCCCTGCTCATCCTGCTCAGTTACAGCATCACAAGCACGAGGAAGGGAGGGGAGTTAAACCTCACTCAGAACAGAAATTGAAGTGAGACATTGTCAGGTTATAGTAAAGAGAGAAGCTTTGATTTTTGAATAAATAAATAAATAAATAAATAAATAAATAAAGGATCCATTTCAGTCCTGCCTGGTCCCTGGGAAACAATGAGAAATTGTTTCCACAAAATTTAAGAGACTGTGCTACAAAATTCTTGTAGTACAATTATTTCTTCCTCGCCTTGCTCTTTGCTATTGCTCCTTTCCTTTTGCCCTTGAACTATTAATCTCATTTCCTCCAAGTATTTTATTTCTCCCTTGGAGTTTCCCTGGACTTTTAGGTTTGATTTTTGCCAATTGTTTAATTATGAGAGGGTTTGAGAAACTCCAAAAATTGGGCTTGGCTTCATCCAGCATACAAAAAAATCCCAACAAATGCTGAAACAAACACAAAAAAAAAAAAATTAAATTAAAAAAAAAAAAAAATATATATATATATATATAAAACTATCTCTATGAAGCTTCTCATTGTTCCAGGCATTTTGCTCCTCCCCTGTTCAGGTTGCCAGGCACAGAATTTGGGCAGGACAGCCCATATTCAGGGGAGGACACAGAATTTTTCTCTTGCAGATGTGCTCCCACCCAGCACGGCCACGCTCAGCTGAACCCTGAACATTCCCCAGCACAGTGGGGGATTTTTATGTCGCTTCCACTGATGAACTTCAAAGCCCTCTTTTCTCCCCCACTGTTTTATTTCTCTCTGAATTACTGTAATCTTGTTTGCTCTCATGTAAAGCACTTACTTGCATTGAAAGTGATTTTTTAGTAACTCTTTTCTGCAAACAAGGATCAAAAACAAAGCTTAAAAATGGCTAAATCTGCTGGAAAGGACCAAGATTTTGTTTTTCAGAGTGGAACCACATTGTGGCCTATTTGGTATAAGTGGGTAGTAAAGCAAGACATCCTGTTTATCAAATGGGAAATTAAAGGAGTAAAATTAATTTCCTTCTCCCAGGATCAGAGCCCTCAGATCCCTCCCAGTTCAGCCCTGCAGGAAGAGCTCATGGAGGGACCTGACACCTGCCCAGCACCACCAGAACCTTCACTTGAATACTCAGCATCAAAAATGATGTGTGCATGGCTTTCTGGGCATCTTCTGCACTGGGAGAGCTTCACAAACCAAGAAATACAAACAACACAACACAAACCAAGCCCAAAAATAGAAAATGAGCAGCCAAGAGCAGGACTTCAGTGGCCTTTCCACGCTGAACTCAAGGCAGAACAAACTTGAACTCAGGTCCACAGTGTAGGAATCTCCTGATTCCTACACTGAAAATTCCAGATGAGGGACAACCTCCCAGAGGAGCAGCAAGGCCACAGGAAACTGTGGCCAAACGAGAGGCTGCCCCTCCCCAGCACACAAATACCTGGAGAAATTAAAGCCATTTCTTTTCCTAAGTTGGATTCTGGTCACTCAGAGCAGTGTGGCAGCACTAACCCAGCTCTGGGTTTTTTTGCCCCCTGTTTAAACCTCTCAGTCTCAGTGACTTTGAAGATGCTCAGATTAATTAATGGATTGCATAAAAAATGATCCCACACTTTGAGTAGACTGTGGAGGCAGTTAGCAGGTAGAAAATATGGTCTTATTCTCCTTCCAGGAGAAATAAAACTCACTGTCAAGACTGTTGGATGCTGCTGCCAATAAATTTTCCTCAAAAATCCCCAGATTTCTTCACAGATGCTGCTGCCAATAAATTTTCCTCAAGATTTCTTCACGGTTGTCATCTGAAGTCTTTGACAGGCACCAACATTCCCTCTCCTGCTCTCAAACCAAGCAGAGCTGTCACTGGGATTGGGCTCTGGTGAGTGACTTTGGGAGGAATTCCCTTCCAAAACAAGTAATTCCATCTGCTTTTCTCCTCTCCCTGCAGGCTCCCACTATGGCACCAACTCAGGCAACATCTGCACCACCCCTGGGTGTGTGACAGCAGGTAATGGGGTAATGGGAATTACTGCTGCAGAGGGGAGGCTTTATGGGCTGTTACTGAGCCTGAAAAAGAGATAATTCAGACCTTAAGGCTGCAGTAGATGAAAAGGAATGAGATTTCCCCTTGGGTAAGGAATATCATTCATAAGAGGCACAGGAAAATTGCCAGTGTGGCCAAGAGCTCTGGCTCTGAGCCACAAGGCCACGGACTGACCAACACAATCTGTATCTATAAGCAGAATAAAATTCCCTTTAGACTGAATTTTCTCTCTCATGGGGCATTCACCTTCTTGTTTGTGGGATCTACACCTCAAGAGGGGTGAGGCTCCAGCACAGATGTTCCCAAGAGCCCCCTGGGAACACTGGTTTCTTGGGCAGTGCCTAAACTGGAGCCCAGGGGAGCACTGGGCACTCTTCCCTGCAAGGTCTCGTGCTCTGGGACAACTCTTCTGCCATTCAGATCTGCCATTCTTCATCTGCCATTCTACACCAGCCATTCAGATCCATTTCTAAGCAGAAAATAGGATTCCTCAAGTCATAATATGTGGGAATGAGTCCTGCCAAGCAGCTCCCTGAGTGTCTTCAGCAGCCCCAGAGGTTCCTGGGCAGTCTGTAGAATTCAGCTCTCCAATTTTGCTGCCCAGCTGCCAGAATCATCCAGAACATGGACCCCACTGCTGACCCATGCCAGGATTTCTACCAGTATGCCTGTGGGGGCTGGCTGAACAGGCATGTGATCCCAGAGACCAGCTCCAGATACAGCATCTTTGACATCCTGAGGGACGAGCTGGAGATCATCCTCAAAGGTAGGGATGAGCTGCTCCACCCCCAGAAACCTGTGTTTATTTCAGAGGTTCCTCACTGCACATCTGACAGAGAAATAAACTTGCACAGAAGTGTTGATTGGGATTTTTTTTTTTTTCTCTCTGGTCCTTTAATCTCTACATCTCTCACTACACCCATTTTGTGGGAACATCCTGTTCCCACTAAAAGTTAGCCAGAGGTGGTTGGGTACTAAGTCCAAAAGGAGCAGGACAAGCTGTCTGCAGGTCCTTCCTCCTGACACTTTTTTTTCATTAATAGCATGAAGGTCTCTTTAGTTTGACAGTAATTGCAGCCTACAAGTGCTTCTCACTGCCCTGAATCCTCAGGGATTTCTGCAAAATGATCAAAGGTCTCCAGGGCAAAACTCTCATTGCAATGGTTCCTTCCCCAGGTGTGCTGGAGTCTTCAGACCAAGGGGACAGAGAAGCATTTCAGAAAGCCAAAATCCTTTACAAGTCCTGCATGAATGAGAGTGAGTGTCTTCTTGTTCCATTGATTCCCCTGTTCAAAACCAGGGGTACAGAAAAAACAAAGTCCTGTTAAAATCCAATCAATATCTGTCTAATCCATGGGGCTGTGCCTGGAAAATTCGTCTTCAGATGGATGAAGATGCCTTGGTATTTCATCAAAACTCAAAATATGGGTTTGGGATTTCATTAAACCTCAAAATTCGGATGTGGAATCATCATGGGATTTCATTAAATCTCAGAATTGGGATGTGGAAAGGGTGGATGCTGGGTACCCACCCCTGGTGTGGATGCAAAGCCTTTCCTTCAGAAGGCACAAACCTGGCCCAGCTCATCTTTCCCAAACCAACCCAAATCATCCCTGGAGCCACAGAAGTATTTTCATTCCTTTTCTGAAGACTAACATAGGATGGTTTCAGGATATCTCTTATTTTTCACTATGGCACATTCACTTGCAAATTTAAACTGTTAGGCCCGTTAGCTATTTTTCCTAATTTTGTTTTTGCATGAAAATAATACAAAATTTGTCTTTGATCCCTCAGGTCTTATAGAGCAACGAGATTCCCTGCCTCTGCTGGAGGCCTTGAGGATGGTTGGAGATTGGCCAGTGGCTTCTGCAGACTGGAGTAAGACCAAAGGTAATGCTGGGCCTGTAAGGGTTCAGTCAGAATTATTTCCTGATAATCTCCATAAGAATACTGAGATCTGTATCAGAATTATTTACTGATAATCTGATTATCTCACTGTCACCAAATTAAACCCTCCATTTTCAGTCTCTCTTCCCACACAGAACTCAGGGTATCACACATTTAACACTCATTGATCCCTTTAAATAAATCTCCAAAATTTCAGCAGCCAGCTTGTGAACTGCACAACTTCAATCAGTCTGACACAGACTGACAAATTAAGTCTATTTTCCCTTTTATCTCCCAGAGCCAAGCTGGAGCATGGAGGAAACCCTTTCCATAATGAACTCCAGGTTTAACAAACGTGTCCTCATCGACATGTTCGTGTGGAATGATGACCGGGATTCCAGCAGACACATCATTTATGTAAGGAAAAAAAAGAACAGGGGATTATTTATATGCCAGAAATCATAACGGATCATTATTTACACTGCAGACAGATGAGCTTCCCATTGAACAATAGTGGTAAAATGTAGGCAATAGTTCTGTACCCCAAGTGTCAGATCTGTCTCAAAGACATATTGGGAAATGTTTTATGGCAGCATAATTTTGTTTCAGCAAAAGAAATAAGAATCAATGGGACTTTTGATGATTTACAGCATTTAAGGGCTGCAAATTCTTGTGACTTACAAAAATGAGGATGAGGTTTAGTATATAGTAGGAAACCATGGGTTTAAAATAGATAAAGAGTATTTCAGAGTTTGTTCATGAATGGTTGTGCAACAAGTCCAGCCCTGAAGTCAAGCAATGTAGAAAAGCTACTTAAATTTATTCTTGGGTCTCCATGATTACTGAAAGATTTTGCTTTGTAACCCACACTAAGATCCACCCTGTCCTTACCTGGAAGCCCAGAGATAAGAGCTGTACCTTCCACCTCCCCCCAGACCCAGGAGAGCCCAAATTCTCTGGGTGTGTGGCCGTGGTGTCACCCCAGCCCTGACAGGGGGGCACTCACAGCATCTCCTGCTGCCTTTCAAGGATTCCTTTGGGCAGCCCCAGCACCTGCTCACCACTAACCAGAGAAATTCATTTTCCTTCAGATTGACCAGCCAAGTTTGGGAATGCCATCCAGGGATTACTACTTTAATGGGGGCAACTATCAAAGAGTAAGTATTCCAGTATTTATTTACTCTGTGCCACTAAAACAACTTTATTCCTTATCCCTGTGCTTTCAAAAACCCCAATACATGAATTTTCACACTATGCAATTATCACAACCAGACTGTGTCATTCATTGCTACGTTTTTTCCTAATTAAGCCAATATTTTGTAAAGTTTACAAAAGGACTGAACAACAGTATAAATATCAAGCCTGCCCAGAACTGACCAACTCATGAAGAAGGTTATGAGAAAATAAAATTGTGTTTTATAGCTTAGATAGTGTCTCATTTTGAAGGACAGCTTCACATTTTCAGTGCAGGGGATTTGCTTGTATCTTCCTCTGAATCCCTGATGCTCAGCAAGTAGGAATCTGCTGCCAGTTACCCTCCCCTTCCCCCAAAATTATATGAAATCATGAAAGATTATTTCCTAGCTGCTTTCCTCTGCCAAGGCTCAGGGCAAAACCACTGATTCTGCAAAAACACTGTTTCTGTAAATACACAGAAAGCTGTTGCAAACTGAGCCAGATAATTTGTCTGTTTCCAAGATGAAAATACTGCTTTAGTACATTTTATTTTCCTCAATTATGCCTTGCTAACAAAGAGCATTTGCAGCCCAACATCAAACCAATTTTCCTAACAAGAATGGAAGGGAATACAGAGGGACAACAATCAGCATTTGAGACTCTTTTGTCTCGTGGTTGTAAAGGCAGATGAAAACATCAGTGGGAAGAGTTTTCTTCTCACTTCAGTGTATTTCACTACACTTTATAGATAATTTAGCTAAAATATAGCCCTGTGAGATTTATAGGGGACTGTCCCCACACCTTCTGGGCACTTTTAGGAGCTGCCAGGTTCTGGGACAAAACAATCTCCTGGAAATGGAAAAATATGGAAAGCTGGTGACCTGGGAATCTCCCCTGCAAGTGTCACGTCCACAGCAGCATCCACAGCAGAAAAGAGGGGTATTTATGCATTGGGGCATGAAGGTCAGACATAGATTGACTTGGAGGAGGTAGGAAATCAGGTACAGTGCAGAGACAATCCCAAATTAGAGAAAGAAAACCAGTTCTGCTCAATACAGCTTTAATTTGAAGGCACAAAGCAGGGGGGCTGAGGCTGTGCTTTTAATCCTAATGACCAAGGAGGAGACACAACCCCTTTTTATTTGTATTTACCAGCTCGCTGCCCCCAGACAATGAGCACAACTCTGATGACCCAAACTCCCCCTGTGCTTAGTCCAGCATCCTTTGGCAAAACTCCTCCTGAGGCCTGGGGGAGTCTGGCCTGATTAAGGCTCAGCATTCAGCCTAAAACCACAAATCGTCATCTGTAAGTGCCCAGACTCAATTTCACCACAGCCACTGTGTTTGTCTGGCTTCCAGGGTCTACAGAGGGAGAAAAGTACGTGAGGAGAACAGGTAGCATCAAGTTTTCCTGTATCAGGGACCAGCACTCCCTCAGCAGCCAAATGTCTTTTCAAGGCCCTTTCTGAGGCAAAAATCAGTCAGAGCCTCCCATCAGGGATAGAGCAAAGGTGTCACTGGGAGCTGTCTGAAACAGAGCTTTTCTTTCAGACACCAAAACCAGACCTGAGAAGATTTATGGTATTACTTTCAGAGAACTCAAACCTTCCCTGTTCACTCTGGAATTTTGGATCGCTGTTCCCACAGTGTAACTCAAAGCACTGAGCCTCCTCTTTGCCCAAGCAGTAATTCTAACTCAGAATGCCAGGCTGGGATGGCACAGAGAAGCAGAATTTTTGTTTTGAGGCTGGCAAGTGCCCTGTAAGGTATTCATGACAAAGAGAATGCTTTGCTGAATGGGAAACGTGAAGATGAACCACAGAAATAGAGAAGAGAGACCCTTTACAAGGTCCTGGAGTGACAGGACAAGGGGGAATGGGCTCAAACTGAGAGAGGGCAGGGTTAGAGGGGATATTGGGAAGAAATTCTTCCCTGTGAGGGTGGTGGGACCCTGGCACAGGGTGCCCAGAGAAGCTGTGGCTGCTCCTGGATCCCTGGAAGTGTCCCAGGCTGGGTTGGACAGGGCTTGGAGCCACCTGGGACAAAGTGTGGAAGGTGTCCCTGCCATGGCAGGGGTGGCACTGGATGGGCTTTAAGGTCCTTCCAACCCCAACCACTCTGGGATTCTATGAAATGATGGACAGCAAACCTTTTTCTACCTGTTCTGTGTCCGAGTGCAGGTGAGAGAAGCTTATCTGCAGTTCATGATCACCATCGCCAAAATGATCCGGGAAGACAAGAACGCGTCCAAAGATGATTCCTTTGTCCAAGAGGAAATGGCAAAGGTCATGGAGCTTGAAACAGAGATTGCAAACGTGAGTAGACAGGTCAAGGACTCCTCAGGAAGCTGTGGGGGGCAAGGGGAGAGGGGGAAGAGTCTCTTGCTGGTTTGAGCAGCAGTTTTCAATGCACCAGAAAACCCAGAGTTCAGAACAAGTGGGGGAAGAAGAATTTTTGTGCCATGAGCAGCCCAAAAATCAGAGCCTCTGTGTCTCTAATTCTGCCTTCTGTCTCTAACACTGCTGCTGTGCTGCTCCAGTCCCAGCCTTATTTCTATTTGGAACCCTTCTAAAGCAGGATAATTCACCCTCTGCTAACTATGCACTGGAATGACACCAGGGCAGGCTCTCTTGCATCCTTAATAACCTACAGCACCCCAAAAATCTCCCAGATATCTTTCCATTCTAAAGAGGACACAAGGAACCACTTGACTCAGCATATCCCTGAAACATTATTGAAAAGGGGGGACCCAGGTTCCTGCACTGAATTTTTGGAAGCAGCACTGGGCACAACCAAATGATTTTCCTTTTCCCAAACAAACTGGTTAATCTGAATATTATTGGAGTGTGTGTATGTGCACCTGCATGTGATTTCAGCCATTGATATTTCTGTCAGTTGATTCCAGTAATAACCTTGTGAATGTCTTCAGGCCACCACTCCAGCAGAGGAAAGGCACGATGTGACCTTGTTGTACAACAAAATGACCTTAGCAGAGCTGCAGGAAAAGTTTGCATTCAATGTAAGTGTTTCATGAGCAGCCTCATACTTCAGGTCTTTTAATTACAAAATGGCTTTGTGAATTGATCAGTGCTTCAACAAAGGTATAAAATCATTCCCATTCCTGATTTTATCTTCAGAATCTCTTTAAAGGCTTTGTCCTACTGAACAGCTGCATTCAAGGTCATAGGACTGTCAAAAGTCCAGTTACTGAGGCATTTAATCATCCAACTCTGGAATGTGTCTCTGTCTGCCTAGGAATTTAACTGGACCTTCTTCATCCAACGTGTCATGTCTTCAGTGAGCGTTCAGGTGGACCCAGAGGAAGAGGTGGTTGTGTATGGGATGCCTTATCTGCAAGAGCTGAAAGCAATTATCTCCAAGTACTCAGCCAGGTAAAGAAATCACAGGATAGGTAGGACAAAAGTCACAGAAGGATTGCTGAAATGTTGATTATTGGACTCCCTTGCTAGTTCTGAGTTTCTGAGGGAAAATGAGACCCCTGTAAAATACAGGAAATGTCTTTGGAGGTTTCAAATTCCAAATACTGCAGTACAAGCTGTCTCACTTGCTGCTTGCTTAGAAAAGGTTAAATGGGAAGAAAAAAATACATGACAGGCTTAGCTCTTGTTACATTCTAGAAGGAAGAAAAATAAGAAATGAATCCCAGAACAGACATGACAGCCCAGTCCTCAGGCTGGATGACTCTGCAGTTAAATGAGATGCTGTGAAACGCAGCACTGGCAGCAATGATTTCCTTGTCTCCATCCAAAATTGAGATTCCCCTCTGACTGCCCTAGTGCTGGTTTTTACAGGGGGCTAAGCTCAGCTTTGCTTTCCCACACAGCACCATCCAGAACTACCTCATCTGGCGGCTGGTGATCGACCGGGTCAGCAGCTTGAGCCGGCGCTTCAAGGACGCTCGGGCCAGCTACAGGAAGGTATTTCCTCTCTTCATAAAGAGGAGAGCACAACTGCCACCAAACCCAACACAACCACCCTCTCAGGCACTGGGAAAGAGATGAGCTTTAAGCTCCCTCCCAGCCCAAGCCATTCTAGATTCCGTGATTACATCACAGAATCTTCAAACAAGCCCAATTCCAGCAGTGGGAACCTTTGGGTCAATTCAGGCAGTGGTTTGAAAGCTTTGAGTTAATTTAAGCAGTGGTTTTAAATCTTTGGGTTAATTTAGGCAGTGGTTTGAAAGCTTTGAGTTAATTTAGGCCATGTAACCTTTGGGTTAATTCAGGCGGTGGTTTGAGAGCTTTGGGTTAATTTAGGCAGTGTATGAAAGCTTTGGGTTAATTTAGGCAGCAGTTTGAAATCTTTGGTTTAATTTAGGCAGTGGCTTGAAACCTTTGGGTTCATTTAGGCGGTGGTTTGAAACCTTTGGGTTCATTTAGGTGGTGGTTTGAAACGTTTGGGTTCATTTAGGCAGCAGTTTGAAACCCTTGGGTTAATTTAGGCATTGGTTTGAAACCCTTTGATTAATTTAGGCAGGGGTTTGAAACCCTTGGGTTAATTTAGGTGTTGGTTTGAAACCTTTGGGCTAATTTAGGCATTGGTTTGAAACCTTTGGGTTAATTTAGGCGTTGGTTTGAAACCCTTGGGTTAATTTAAGCAGTGGCTTGAAACCTTTGGGTTAATTTATCGCGGTGGGAAGGCTGCAGGGGCAGGGCTAACACTAGGCCCTGGTGCTGCAGGCCCTGTACGGGACGACGCTGGAGGAGGCGCGCTGGAGGGAGTGCGTCAGTTACGTCAACAACAACATGGAGAACGCGGTGGGAGCCATGTATGTCCGGGAGACTTTTGCTGGTGAGAGCAAGAGGATGGTATGTAGTTTACCCTTCATACTACTGTACATCCGCTGTGGTGGCAGCTCTCTGGTCAGAGAGAGGGAGGAAGTTAGATAAGCTTTGCCGTGAGTCGGCCTGGGAAGCTTTGGGGAGCTGGAGAGAAAGAATTCTGAGCAATCTGCGCCTGGTGTTTTGTAATAAGCTGTTTACAGCCCGTAAGGTTGATTACAAATGGGTGTCTTCTTAATTAGCCAATGGTGATGGTGTTTTAAGGGGCCAATCAGGCCCACCTGTAGTGAACTGGAATATAAAAAGGAATGGGTTTTCTAATAAAGTGAGTTAGCCTTCTGAATGCCTTGGGAGGCTGTGTCACCCATGATTCAACAGCCACACATCCACAATGCCCATAGTGCCCATTCCCTCTGGTGCCTGGGAGAGTTATCCACCAGTCAGGAAGGTGCAAGGACTCATTTGTGATGCTCTTTTATGTCATTGTTGTATGAAGAATGGCGAGAAGCAAATGACATTTGACTCTAAAACTCAGAAGGCATAAAGCAAAACTTTTTTGCCAAACTCCTCATATTCATAGGCTGGATCGTTCACCCAGAACCTGATTGGTTCTCAAACAACATTTCTCATACCATTGGATAGTTAGGAACAACACTTTCCTGTACATCTCTCTCTATAAAAATCACCTACAACATTCCACATGTTCATAAATACCAGGTGCAGAGACCAAGATAAGAATTGTTTTGATTCTTTTCTCTGAGCTTCTCACAGCTTTTCCCAGAACGACGCCTGGGAAAGTTATCTGTTTCACTCCCTGACCAAACTGTCACTTCCACACTTTTAGATGCTCAGTACCATGGTTCAGAGCACAGAATTTGGAGACATGGCCTTCCAGCAAGAAGCTCTTCATCCCTCCTTAGCTGTGCCTGGGAATAGGGCATGGGAATGATGAGTGTCTCCCTGGCTCTCTTTCAGGTCCGAGATTTAATAGAGAAGATCCGTGAAGTGTTCGTGGAGACCTTGGATGAGTTACAGTGGATGGATGAGGCATCCAAGGAGAAAGCTCGTGAGAAGGTCAGACATAACAAAGAACTTCAGTTTTCCCTTATGAACATGAAATATTTGGAATTTTGTAGTATCATCATATCCAGTTTCTCCACAAAAAAGAGGAAAAGAGAACATTATGATCCTGTTACATTGTCCTTTCCTTTCAATCCTTTGTTAGCCCACATCAATAAAAATGCCAACTGAATATGACGCAATTCCCAAAAAAAAAACCATTTCCAACTTCTAATTGACCTCAGGACCATCAGCACCATTCCAAAGCCAACAAAAAACCCCAAACATTTCACTGGTTTTTGTATTGAAACTTTAGCAAAAACAACCCAACAACAGCACACCAACAAAAATCACAATTAAGAGGAAACATTCAACTCTTTTCTTCCAGGCAATGGCAATCAAAGAACAAATTGGCTACCCAGATTACATTTTGGAAGATCACAATGAGAAACTGGACCTTGAATATGCCAATGTAAGTGTTTAGTGCATATCTCACTAAATACCTCAAAATAAACCCCGTTTTTCTTGCCACTGGAATATTTGTACCTGTGCAACTGCCCTTTCCAAGGACATTAAAATGAACATATTAATAAATAATTGGTGCAAAGAACCAACTATTCTGTGAAACCATGCAACCAAAACATTCTTTAGAGGACATTCAGTGGGACGAGGAGTTCCTCTTCCTGCTCAGCTGACCAATGTGCTTGGATCCCTGTTTGCGCAGTTAAACTTCAGTGAACACAGCTACTTTGAAAACATCCTGGAAAACCTGCGAGCTGGAGCCCAAAAGAGCCTGAAAAAGCTTCGAGAGAGAGTTGACCAAGATATGTGAGTTGCCAGACAGAGCCACAGACACAACCTAAATTCTGGGTTAATGGTGGGGGTGTTCAACTCATGCTGTGGGTACCTAGGAATGCCCGTGGCTGAGATAATCAAGGAATTAAACAATTCTAAGGTAAAGTGAAAAATGCTTTTCCCCTTGAATTTTGTGTGTTTGGGATGAAAGCTGCCCATAAAGAAGCCACCAGGTATTTCCTGGTATCAGGAATTCAGGAATTCTTCACAGCTGTGATCAATGCACCCTTTTCCCTACATCAATTCTTGCCTTATATAATCTCTTTGTAAGGATTTCCCTTCTTGTTACAAGGTTCTTCCTTCTCCTAACAAGAAAATTTTATTTCTTTATATATCCATATATAAATTCCTGATGATATATATATTACATATATATATATAGATATATAGTACATATATGTGTGTGTATATGTATACATATATATATACATACATAAATATATATGCACACATATATACATATATATATATATATATATATATATATATAATCCCTGAAAGGATTATATCCTTACAATCCTTTCCTACTTACCTTGCACTTTTTAACCAGAATTAAATTTAAAAAATGTCTGGGAAAAAAAAAAAAAAAAACATAATGACTAACTGTGTGCAACATTTATTTTTAGATGGATAATTGGAGCTGCAGTGGTCAACGCATTCTATTCCCCCAACAGGAACCAGATAGGTAGGTTTAAACACTTTTAACCAGCTGATTTTATCCACACAGCAGTGCAGCTCTGCATCCAGAGTCAAACCTGCTTGTGCCCGTGCAGGAATTGTGGGCAAGGCTGCCTGGCTGTTCAGCTCAGGCACGTTGGTGATGAATATTCAGCTCCCCTGTTTATTCCTGAACAGCCCTGGGTTTGAAAGCCTGGGACAGCACCAATGCCAGCACCCAGAGAACACCCCCAGCGTGCCCTGGTCTGCTCCTGCTCCTGAGTTTATGGCACAAGGGGCAGCTCTCCAGTTTGCTCTGTGCAATTACACTGCCAAGAGGCACCCAGAGTGCAGAAAGTGCCTCTGCCCCCAGAGCAGCAGCTGTGGGAGCTCTGCAGAGCTGCTGGGCTGCTCCTCCTCCTTCTTGGCACAGACCTTCAGAGCCTGCCTGGCTCCCTGTGCTCTCTGAGCTCACACCTCAGGCACGAGCTCAGGTCAGAACTGCTGAGTCTCTGCTGAATTCTGAGCACCCCAAGCAGGAGAGGCAATAGATAATTCCCTCCAGAAGTGCTTATTCAAATTCCCAGGCTGCCAGGAAGACCTGCTATCAACTGCTGATACCACAGAAGGACAAATCCATGGGGTTTTAGGCCAGACAGTAACTGCATCCTGCTCCCAGGGCAAAGGCAAACAGCCCAATCCACCAACAGGCACAACAGAAAACTTCTGTAACTGCTAAGAGCAGAAACATCCAAATTGCTGATCATTTAGCCCTCTGCTCTCACCCAAAATCTGATTTCCTTTGTGCAGCTTCCACTCACCTCCACCCTGCAGGTACAGCAGCAGCAGCACCTTCAGCCACAGCAGAGCCCTCCTGGGGGCTTTACTGGTGGCCAACCTCAGCTCCCAGTTTATCCCCAGTGCTTTTGCACAGACTGGAATCAGCTTTCCAGGCAGGCAACTCAGGTCCTGAAGCCACCTGGTTCCTCTCCAGCTTTGTCCCTATAAATCATACAAAAGTAACTCACTGAAGCAACTTGGAGATGAATATGGCTGTGTAAAAATCCAAGCACAGCCACCCACAATAGTGTGTATGCCAGTTAAATTCTGTTTCTTCATGTCTCTAGCTTGAGAAAACAATTCTCCACACTGCTCTGTCTTGCTGCAGTCTGGATTATGCATTTCTCCACAAAATTGTGTGGATAAAACCTGTGTAGCCAAAAGGGTTTTGTCTCTGAATTAACTTCTTGCAATATAATTTTAGATATCTCCCTTCATAGAAACTATCTCATTAGAGTGAATTACTGCCAGCCTGAATTCCTCTAGAATCATTTATGCTTTTCAGCTTGTGTAGAAGGGGTGAAAAGCAAACCCCATGGTTCTGGATAAGGTTTTTCCCAGCAGACTGGGGCAGAACAGATCTCATTGCCCCTCTCAGCTGGCATCGAGTGCCCTTGGTGGTCTGTAGGAATCACTCCTGTGCATGTTTTACACTCCAAGTGTTGGTGGTATCAGCAGATGATTTCTAACCTCTCCTTAACCCAAATAAAGCAATAAAACCCCCATTAGTTCCCCTATAAAATGGCTCTGGCACACAAACTGTGCCTGTCTCCAAAGGACAGCTCCTAAACATTCTGTTCTTGACTCACTGCAGCAAACATTGTGGACCAAATTAGGCTAAGCTTAATGTAAATGCTGCTCGGGTCTCAAACAGGGAGATATTGTAGCTGCAGATGTGCTAAATTAAACCTTTATTAACTTGTCATTTTCCATTTATCAGGAGAGAAACAATTTCACATGAGGCATGAGCTTGTTTCTCATCATTTTATATTTTCTGTTCCTTCCTGACCCTTACACCAAGCAAACAACCTGTCTGCCAAGGATGCAAAATGAATCCACTTTACAGCATCTCCCTCTTTCTCCCTGTTTTTGCAGTTTTTCCTGCTGGGATTCTCCAGCCCCCCTTCTTCAGCAAACACCAGCCCCAGGCCCTGAACTTTGGAGGGATTGGGATGGTTATTGGGCATGAGATCACTCATGGGTTCGATGACAATGGTGAGGAGATGATGGAAAAAAATGTTATTATGTCTAAATAACCCAAATGTTATTATTTCTAAATAATGCCATGAGCTAAAACTCATGGCATGGCAGGAATTAAAGTGCACTGGGACTGAAGATCCCTGCACAGTCACACCCAGCTCAGCAGCAACAGGAGCACACTGGGAACACTCTGTGGAAAGTTTTGCAGGGAGGGTTTCCTGAACAGAGCACAAGAAATAAGCAGATGTTAAAAAAAAAATTGAGGCAATGACAATTCTCAGTCAGAAAATGTTATTTTTACAGCATCATCGGGTCAGAAACACAAAACAAGCAGATCCATGGGCTCCTGAATACAGTGAAATCTGTGAACAACATTTTTGGGATAGAACAAATGTCAGTAGTGTCTTGAAATCCCAGGAGACTTTGTTTTTCAACACAAATGCTTGAAATAAGTTGACTTTTTAAAGTTTCTCAAATGCCATGTAAAAGAATTTGGGGGAAAAGCTCACTTCTGACTCTACAAGTCAGGAGTTTCTTCCATGTGTTTTTTCCCATGCTGATAAAGTTTGTGCAGATGGCACATGAACACACAACACAGCCTCAGAAACTGAGTTCCTGAGCAAAGAAAAGCCTTCTTCTAGCCAGAACGCCAAGAACACAAACTCCAGAACTGCAATTCCAGCTTTAAATTCTCTATAAACCTCAGTTCTGTCATGTGGCCACACAGAAAAAGCACCTCAGACACCTCAGGGCTGAGGGAAGGTTTTGTTACATGATATCTGAAAAACGCACCTGGATATAAAACCAGGCCTTGGAGCTATAGGTGAAGTCAGGGCTGCAGACTGAACAGGAAATCAGGGAATAACAGGGTCCACAGTTCCATTCCCTTGTGACAGAGAGAATAAACTGTGCCCAAAATATTTCTGAGCATCCAAATTCAAGGAGGAAAGAGGAAGGGAGTGCAGCTCCAGCATCCCGGCTGCTACACTGCAGGAGCAGCAGTTTTAAAATCTTGCTCAGGACCTTCCTCTTATCCCTGGGTTTTCCTGCAGGTAGGAATTTTGACAAGGATGGGAACATGCTGGACTGGTGGAGCAACTTCTCAGCGCTGCATTTCAAGGAGCAGTCCCTGTGCATGGTGCACCAGTATGGGAATTACACCTGGGAGCTGGCAGGGGGACAGAACGTGAGTAACAACCACGGCCACAGCTCTGGCTTTGCACAAATAATGATTTCTACAGGGATCCTGGCCCAGAAAGCCCAGGGTTTGTGTGCAGTGATGTTCTGTCCAGCAGCAGCCCAAGTTCTGTCCATGTTGTGTTTGTGTGTGCTTTGTTCCAATCTACAGCTCTTGCCCTGTGATTTGTTTAATTTCATTCTCTCCTCTCTTGTCCCAGCACAAAGTCACAGCTTCCCTCTGCTCCAGGCATGTCAGGCTGTTGTATGACTGGCCTGTGGTTCTTAGAGTCGCTGATTTTACTGACAGCAGGGTAAATAAATAATTATTTTTACAGGTCAGTGGCATAAGCACTTTAGGAGAAAATATTGCAGATAACGGAGGAGTCCGACAGGCTTATAAGGTAATCCTCAAACACCCTGTGAGTTAACTTTACCTATTCTATGCTAAAAAAAATTACAATTAACATGTTATTAGCATATTCCAAAAGCTGAAGCCTCAGCTGCACACCTGGAAGTTCATGTGGCCATGGCTTGCTGCCATTCTTGCCCCCAGGAGCAGCCCAAAGGTGGAGCTCAGTGTGAGCAGGGAATGTTCTTCCCTACAAAGAACCCGAGCTGATGTGACAGTAAAACCTTTTAACTTTGGTGGCTTGAGTATGGTGTTAAGGGTGTTTATAGAACACCCTGAATTTGAAATCTAAATTCCAACCCTAAGGGACACCATTCCAAGTAATTGCTTCATTAGGGAGGGGTGACACAAAGTCCCTGCACACGGAATCCATGGATGTCCTGTGGTGCTGGATCTGTTTTTACCCTCAGCTCTCCCTTTTGTTTCATGCTTTGGGACTATCTCAGCACCTGAGAGGCTGCAGAAACAGAATGTTGGGAATTAACCAGCATGAGGGCACATTAACTTGTCTCCATCAAGTCAATATACCTGAAAAAAGCAAATTGGCCAATTAATGTGCAACAATAACAGGTGATGGATTTAACATTGAGCAAGGTTATTATCTGCTATTTAATGAGCAGTTACCTGAAGAGAGAAAAATCATCACTACAGAGAAGCAGAGGAGATTTAACACTTTATTTACAGGTACAAATTCCTGTAGAAAGAATCCATGAAGTCAACAGTGCTCATGCTGACAGCTTTTTCATAAAATTCTCTGCACTGTTTGTATTGGAGAGAGAAAATGTATACAAATACAGAAGGGAAGCACGCTGGTTAATGCATGTGGTGACTAAAATCCCTCCTCCCATTCAAAATCCTCCTGCTGCTCCTCTGAGTTGATCTGTGATCATTTCCAGGCCTACTTGAAGTGGCTGGAACAGGAAGGGAAGGAGCCAAAGCTGCCTGGACTGAACATGTCCCACAAACAGCTTTTCTTCCTCAACTTTGCCCAGGTGAGAACACACAGGGTTGTGCCTCAGGCCCTTGGACTTTGCTGGAGCAAACACCTGGGGGCAAGGCAACTCAAGGGCAGGTAGATCTTTCCCAGAGCACCAGATCTTGATAAAACAAAAGCTAATTAATAAATAATTGCATCTATTCTGCCTCTCTATAAAAATACCCCAATGATATCATAGCAAACTGGGATGGTTCTTAAGAGAGCCACTGAGGGATTCCCAACATGAATTCCCAATACTGACCCACCAATGATGAATCTCCCTGTGCAGGTTTGGTGTGGCTCCTACAGACCAGAATATGCCAGTCAGTCCATAAAGACAGATGTCCACAGCCCTCTGAAGTACAGGTGGGTTTTACTCATTTACTGACTCACAACTCACTTCATTCAACCCCTTGCACCCCGACAGCACGGGAGAGTCTGATAACACACAAGATAACTCCCAAGTGATTTCCAGATTTTCTCCCATGGCTTGTAGGACACTGCTGGAGAGCACTTACCTATACCTGACCTGCAGGTGAATTTGCCAATCCACAGGGGATGGAGCAGACCAAACCCCCTCTGTTCTGGCATTTCATTGCTCATATCACCTACATTTCCTAAATCATCCCCTATCCTGAACTGCAATCAAGTTCTGAGGCTCCAAACCACTTTCTGCTCCCCACAACAACAATCTCCATGTAAACGAGTCTTTTCTTTTTATTTAGGGTGATGGGCTCACTGCAGAACTTTGAAGCCTTCTCCGAGGTGTTCCACTGCAAGAAGGGCACGGCCATGCATCCCGCGGGGAAGTGCCGCGTGTGGTAGGCAAGGATGGGACACTGGTGACACCACAAACAGCTGGTGGCAGGGATGTGCCCGCTGTTGTGCTCAGCCCCAGCCAGAGCTGCCGGGGCAGCTGCTGCAGTGAGAGCCAGGGAAGCACTCAGCTGTCCCAGAGGGACTGGGAAGCGCGCAGGGATCACGGGGATGGAACCCGCGGCCGGTGCCGGAGGCCACGCGGCGTTCCCGGCCTCAACGACTGTTCCCAATGACATCCTGACTGTTACTAAGACACTGCTTCAGGGTTACAAGGACTAATTCTTACACACAAAATATATATATATATATATATATAATTAAGAAATTGTCTATCATATTTTCCTTGAGAAAAAAGCCAACATTTCCCATTTTTTCCATTCCTCATGGTCATGTGGATGTCACCTCCCAGATGTCCCAGCACACCCATTCAGGGCCTTCTCTGTGCCTCTCCAGATTCTTTCACATCTCATTTTATAGACAATTCTGGTAACTAAAGCATTTCTATCCTCAGCAAATTCTTGCTTAAAAACATTCACAGGGATGCTCTTCCAGAATAATCCTTTTCCTTAAGATACAGCCAAAAGCCACATAACTCAGAGTTTTCCCTTCTGCAGGTATCAGGAAAGTTCTTCCACAAAGAGAATGTGTTTTCTTCAGGAAAAACTTTATTTTTTGACACAGTGGACACAGAGGATATTAACTTTCTTTACTAAAAGATCCATGGCTTTTGCTGTGCACAATTCCTTTTCCCAGCAATATCTCCTTTTCTCCTAAAACCTGAAAAATCTGTACAAAAATGCATTTGGAAACTGCACTGTGTATTATACAGAATATTTAAAATTAAGGAAAAAAAAAAAAAAGGCCATTTTTTCCCCACAAACAAGCAACAGCAGAATAATTAATGCATACCAAATGTCAACTGTCCATGGGGCAAGAAGAAAAGTCCAGGCATTCCACACAGCCCAGTGCTCCTGAAGGGGATGTGAAAGGGAAGAGTTTGCAGCCCCTGTGACACTCCCAGTGCCTTGATCACTCAGCTATTGCCGACTTTGATGCTTCACAAGATGCCACTGGGCTATTTCATTAACTCCTTTGCAAACCCTCCTTTTCATTTTCAAGCTGCCTTTCTCTTCATGATGATTTAGAGGGGAAAAAAAAAAACTTACACACAAAAAAAAAAAAAAACCAACAAGCAGCCACAAATCTATTTTTCAGAAAGGAATAATAATTTTAATACGCCAGCTCCGCTTTCTGGGGCTCAGCGATGCTGTCTGAGACGTTCCACTGCTCCGTTTCCACTGCTCTGGTTCCGTTTCTGGTGCATTTTTTCCCCAGATCAGGTTAGAGCTGGTGTAAACTCTCGTGCTGTCTGTGCCCCTGCACTTTGGTCACTGCTTTGTTGTTCATGGATTGCTATTTGTCGTGACAGTGAGCTCTATGTCAAGACGCCTGTTGCACTCTCCTCCTGCACTTGAGTTCCTCTGCTCCAAAGAACCCCCTTCAAGTGAGGCATCACTACAATTATCACATTTTAGGAGTACAAATTTTGTCTTTATGGTTGAATTACAGGGTCCCACCCTTCAGAGATATATTTAAAATGATGCTTATTCTTGTAGAAAGTGTATAAAACACCTTTTGCCAAATAGCAGACATGTATCCATGGAAACAATTAAGCTGGTTTTAATCCTGTGCCTTTTTATTTTGCCATAGGCTATTTTTCAGTATTTACACTTGAAAAATGTAACATGTATTAATTTTTAATAAAATTTAAAAGAAAAAAATCATGGTGTTGAATTCAGAAGGATTTCCCTATGGAGAAGTATGGGGAGCTTTCCTTGGTAAGCATCCTACTATAATGAGAGTATCTTAACTTCCAACATTTAATAGTGAGTTTTGAATATTATTCCAGTAAATGCTTTTCTTTCTAGCACAGGAATCACTCGACAGCAAGGCAGTAACTGCCTGTGTGACTCTGCAAAATCACTGAGCCCTGGAGATGGGCCACTAAAGGCTCTGGCACATGCAGCTAACTAAAATGTGCCTGGCAGGGTTAATTCCAAGTGACCACCACAGCACATGGAAGTTCCTCTATTTTTTTCCCTGTAAGTTTACCCCATCTCCCACCTGCAGAACACTTCCCAGCTGCCAGTTTGTGTCCGTGCCAAGGGCTCCAACCTCCCCTTACAGCCCCCCCGACCCTGGTGCTGTGCCCACACAAAACTGGAGATGGGAGACCGGCTCCAAACCCCCAGGAAAGGGCCCTGAATTCCTGCTGACCCCTGTGCTACCTTTCCACAAGGACAAAATGCTTCAGCCCTGCGGGAAGTTCTGCACCCAGGGGTGTTCTGCTGCGCTTTAGACTCCTAGACAAGCTTTATTACCTGCTTAGGAAAAGAAGATCCTGATGTTTCCCAGGAGGAATCCGAAGCCTTTCCCTCTCCCATGCTGCCACCTGGTGACAAATCCTGCTCCAGCGCCTAAAAGACCAAAATTCACATCCAACAGGAGCAGCTTTCAGGCTCCATCGAACCACAGCTGGTGTAGACATCAAATCCTGCAAAAAAAAAAAATCATTTTTAGTTGGCAGATTGCTGGTCCTGGTTGATGCTGCACCTCTCTCCCTGGCTGTGCAGAGCTCCCAGCTCCCCTACAGCAGCTGTGGTTTTGCACAGCCCTTCCTATAAAGCAGAGTTTCTGAAACATCACCTTACTCTGCAAAAACACCCAGAACTAATTCTGCTGAAACAACTAACACAGTAAAAAAAAAAAAAAAAGGGTTGTGCTTGGGTTTTTTAACCATCCCCATTGTGTGTCACAGCTCAAACAATGCCCAATTCAGGCCTGGTTTCTTTGGGGTAGGCACCAAGTTCCTGCACAGGAGCAGTTTTTGATCCCCTTTCTCCTTGTTAGCATCAAAACCTGCCCGTGCTGTTCATGCTTTATGACATGTTAAAGGAAAATACAGAGTTTGAACAGTCAGCTTTTATCAGCTTTTGTCAGCAAATCCTACTCTTTGGTTGAGAAATCTCAAAATTGGGGAAATCTTAAATTGGCGAACCAAAACCACTACGCCACTCTAACAGCAAGAATCACTGCTGGGTCACTCTCAAATCAGATTTTAATGTATTACCCAAAAAGATGCTGACTCCTGCGCTGCTGCAAAGGAAAGGAAACAGCCCCACCAACGAGCAGTGAGGGGAATTTTCAACTGAAGAGCTAAGACCATTATTCAGGATTTTATTACAAAACTACCCCTTTACAGTGATGTTCTTCATACTTGTGGGGCACGTAACTTTTCCTCCTTTGCCAGATATTTGTGAGGGCAGCTGCACCAGCCAGCAGAACCACTGAGACAAGGATTTCCATGATTGCTGCCAGAGGTGGAGCTGGGGAAGAGTTCTGCTCCTCAGGTGTGATGTGAGAAAACCCCTCAAAACCTGACAAAGCCCTCGAATCCTGGCAAGCCAACCCCTCAAAGCCTGGCAAAAACCCACCCCTCAAAACCTGGCAAACCAAGCCCTCAAATCCTGGTAAAAACCCAGCAAAACCTGACACAAACCCACCCCTCAAAACGTGGCAAACCAAGCCCTCAAATCCTGGTAAAAACCCAGCAAAACCTGACACAAACCCACCCCTCAAAACCTGGCAAACCAAGCCCTCAAATCCTGGTAAAAACCCAGCAAAACCTGACACAAACCCACCCCTCAAAACCTGGCAAACCAAGACCTCAAATCCTGGTACAAACCCCACTAAACCTAACACAAACCCACCCCTCAAAACCTGGCAAACTAAGCCTTCAAATTCTAGTACAAAACCCTCAAAACCTAACACAAACCCACCCCTCAAAACCTGGCAAACCAAGCCTTCAAATTCTAGTACAAACCCCTCTAAACTTGGCACAAACCAATCCTTCAAAGTCTGGCAAACCAAGTCCTAAAATTACAGTACAAGCCCCTCTGAACGTGGCACAAACCCACCCCTCAAAGCCCAGACAAACCAAGCCCTCAAATCCTGGTACAAACCCCTCTCATCCTAACACAACCCACCCCTCAAAACCTGGCAAACCAAGCCCTAAAATTACAGTACAAGCCCCTCTAAACCTGGCACAAACCCACCCCTCAAAACTCGGCTTAGGGGGCTAAGTTTGTGAACAAATGGTGTGGAAATAGTCAGGTTCTGGGCAGGTGCAGGGCATTGCTGCCCAGGTGGGGGATTTTGGGACAGGAGGGGCAGTGACTGAGGAAATGCTCAGCAGGATTCTGCAGGAATCTGTGTGACCTCAAGGAGCATTCCTTGAGGTTTGTGACTCACGTGGTGGGATTCACGGGAATATACAGAGTAAACATGAACAGGAGTTCCTTGAGCTTTATGAAAAATCCATTTCTTCAGAATTAAAACCTTTCTCAGGGATGCAAGAGGCTGCACATCCTTCAGATGGAGAGACCCACACCGAAGTTGCACACAAATGCATTTTATTGCTCTCTACACACACAGAGATGCATACACAGTATGCAGGTGAGCCATAGGGCAGTCCCAGCACTGGGAGAAACATCATCCACCAGGAATTCAACCACTCAATACAGATAAAAAAATCATTATTATAATGAAAATGCTAAAAAAAGCATAGCTTACACCCAAAATGTATAACATTGACAAATCAAGCCTGTTACCTACTACTTTTCTTTAACATAAAGCAATAACATACTCTTTTTCTAAATTGAAAAAAGCATCAAATAGTAGAAATATTCCACATAGTTTCCTAACTCCTGGTCATCCCTCACACTGTACATACAGGACTATGAAAGGGCCATGGGGGAGAAATCCAGACCAAAACCAAACCCGTTTTCAATGTTGCACAGCTGATAAGCAAAGAGAGGGAAATACTTTAACCAAGTGTGCATGAACCAAAGGGAATAAATTTATCCTCATGGTGTGACTGAGCCAACCAGGGTTGTCAGTCAAGCCAGAGCAAAGCTGATGGCTCTTACAGGGAATATTAGAGAAAATCTCCTACAGCAAGTCCTGTCCATCACAACATTTAACATTTACAAACACCCTCCTTCATTCTGAAGGTGTTGCCCCTGCCTGGGCAGCACTGCACCAGTGCCTACACAGCTTCAACACTCAGCTTTTGCCAGGGGATCCCAAAAAAGTCAAAAGCATGGCATTCTCTCATACATAAATAAAACACAGGGGGGGAAATAATATTCCCTACGGGAGAGAGGATCAGAGCTGGACTATCAGATGCAGTCAGGTCCTTCCTCTGGACTGTCACAGGTCCGTGCAGTGAGGACTCCCCTGACTACCAGGGCCTCCAGAGAGGGCTGCTGGCCTTTGGAGACACTTGTTTCAGGGCACCGGCGTTCCCAGGGGAGAAGGAGACCTCTGGAGCAGCTGACTGGCTCTTCTGGAAGTGGCTTAGAAGTTTGGTCTGTGTTTCAGTTCGGACTTTGTGGAGAGAGAGGAAATAGAAAGCTTCTTGCAAACACCTGGAATAGCCCTCTCTGAAGTCAAACTGGGAGCTTTTGTGGAAGGGTCCTGCAGCTGGAGAAGGGAAGAAAAGAGGGAGAGGGAAGGAAGAATAGTTTAGAACAGCTGTCCATGGCTCGAGATTCATACAACAGTCACAGATTTGCAGTAAAACGGAGACTGAAAGAAAACTCAATACTTACTCTTCATCTGCAGCTGGCTCTGCTGCTTCAGGTAGCTGACAGCCACTTCCAGGATGTCGGCTTTCTCCAGCTTGGAGTTGGGCTGGTGCCTCTGGAACTCCTTCTCCAGGAGCAGCTTCAGCTGCTCGATGCTGCTGTTAATCCGGTCCCGGCGCATTTTCTCCACCACCGGCTTCCTCAGCTGTAAAAAGCAAAGGAGAAGAAACCTGTTATTAAAGGATGCTCTCCCTGACACTCCGCAGGGCTGTTTGTCACCCAGCACTGCTCCTCAACAGAGCGAGGCAAGGTCTCAGCTGGTGTAAACTCCGCTGTGCCTGCACTTACTTTGTTTTTCTCCTTTGCTGTCAGCAGGTTGTCGGGCTCCAAGAAAACAGCGCTGGGAGCCATCCGTCCTGAGCAGAGAGGTCCGGGGGCGGAATCCAGGAGAAGCGTGTTGCTGGAAGCTGCCTGCAGCCGGTATTTATACCATCCAGGCTGAGCGAGAGCGTGTGGGTCTGCGGCTCGCTGGTGTTTCCCACACTCTCCAGCCAATCCTGGCCACGGGCAGCACAATGGGAGAAGCAGCTATTCCTGCATGCTCCAGTGGCACTGAAAAGCCGGCGGATAATGACCTTCTCCCGGAGGAGCAGGTGGGGAGTGCGCGCTCCCTGCAAGGCTGGCATCAGAGTTACGTGTCAGGAGCTGGGAAAGAGCTGCCCTGCCACGGGAAAGGCTGCTGACTAATGCCCGGGATCAATAGCATTCCGGGGGGAACCCGGGGTTCACAGGCGGGAGGAAGGAGGAGGAGGAGGAGGAGGCTGGAGGAGGTCAGCTGCCCATGGCTGGAAGGAAGGATGCTCCAGGAGCGCGCCCAGGCACACGCTGCACAGGAGCAGGGCACACGCCAGCAGCCCCTGGCTGTGAAAAATTACTGGCTTTTCCCAAATATTAAAATTAACGATATATGTTAGAATGTGTTATATGTGTTATGTTAAAATGCATATTTTATGATAGGCTTTTCACAAATATTAAAATCAATGTTATATGTGTTATGTTAGAATGCGTTATATGTGTTATGTTAAAATGCATATTTTATGATTGGCTTTTGGCAAATATTAAAATGAATATTATATGTGCTGTGTTAGAATGTGTTATGTGAAAATGCCTATTTTATAATTGGCTATTCGCAAATATTAAAATTAATATTATATAATGTGTTAAATCTTATATGTGTTATGTTAGAATGTCTTATGTTAAAATGCCTATTTTGTGATTGGCTTTTCGCAAATATTAAAATTAATATTATATAATGTGTTATATGTGTTATGTTAAAATGCATGTTTTATGATTGGCTTTTGGCAAATATTAAAATGAATATTATATGATCTATGTTAGCATGTGTTATATGTGTTATGTTTTACTTTAGAGGGAAATCTTTGGTATCAGGCCTATCAGGGAGTCTGTACCTCTCAAGTGCCTCAGGCAATGGGGAAGGAGAGAAGGGAAATGTGGCTGGGAAATTGGGATAAAAAGGAGGCTGGGTCCTCCAAAAATTTGAGAGACCCCAGGGGAATGCCCCATGGCCTCTCCTTTTATTGGAATAAAGTAAAAGGACTCCTCTGTCTCCTTTTTGGACATAAACCTCTGATGTTTGTGGATTAATATTCCTAACATTCCCTTCCCTCAGAACCTTATGCAGCCCTTTAGAAAACTCTCATTAGCGCTTTATGTTTCTGTTTCCAGACACCTGCAAGACAAACACTTGTGGAGAAGGGTCTTGGGATTGTTTCAGAATCAGTTCAGTATCACGTGCTGCCTCTTACTTCATCCCCAAAACACATTTCACTCTATTTTCATTTGGTCTATAAACAAAGGAAAACTGGGTGCAGAAGAGATTTATATCCTCATAAACGTATCAGAAACCAAATTCCTCATTCCTCATTATTCTCCCCTGTGCCAGTTGCTGTGTTTGGTGCACAGCCTCTGCTCAGGAAGTGCCTGAGCTGACAGTCTGATAAAACCACAGCCAGGGATTCCTGCTGGAAAACCAGAACCAGACCTGCCAGCAATTTATCCACCAAGGAATGTCAGCGCTTATGCTTGTGGAGCTCTTACTGTAGTGAGTAAATACCAGTTGTAGTCACATTAACACATGTGTAGGTGTGTTCACCTTTACATTAACGTGTGTGTGTGGTCACACAGGGCCTTTAAGGTGCACACACACACCCAGGGCACAGGGACACGTTTCTCCCTCACTCATTATTGGTGCAGCAGGTAAGGCTCCAATGACCTCTTCCAGGCTCTGCTTTTCCATCCCTATTGTGCTGCCCTGAATGGGCTCCCTTCCCTCGGCACAGAGCAGCAGCTGTTGAGCTCCGGCTCTTTTATGTCAGGTTGTGGGAAAGCTTTTGTGACACCGTTTCACATGTTCTCCTCAAAGCCTGTGGATTATCTCTGAGCCCATGTAATGCCACCTCTGAAACCAATCTGTGCATCCCTCTCGGGGACATTCCCTGAAACAGAAACTCCGGAGCTGGGACTTGTTTCTCCAGCTCGTTAATTGAGCACAGGAAGAAGAAAAGTGCCAGTCCTGTGATGGGCAGGGAAGTTTTGCTAGAGACAATTGCTGCTTCCCTCTTGCTGCTTTCCTCTGATTCTCCACTCAACACCCAGATAAAAACTACATTAATTCCATGGGAGCAGTCATGTCAACCTCACCCTCCTTGCTCTTGGCACAGTCAAGGGGTCAGTGCTCAGAATTTCCTCTCCACCAGCATCCAAACTGACCCAGAGCCTGCACCTGAGGAGTCTGAAGGCAAAATAATCATCTGTGGCATTCCACTTTTGCTGGAGAGGCTGGAAGCCTCTGTGGGTGTGATAAGAATTACAATATTCCATGTATTATTGGGAGGTGAACATAGCAAAATCTCCCCTGGGTGGGAAACGCACTGAGGTTCCTACATCCTTGCTCTGTGTCACACACAAATTTTAAGGAATTGGAAATACAAACATGTATTTAAAACAGCTTTTTCTTTTCTCTTTGGTTGCACAAGCTCTGAGGGGAAAAATTAGTCAATTACTGACCTATTTGGAAGAGTTATTCAAATTAGATGCTCAATAACCAAAAATAGATACTCTGCTTTGGCTGGAAATCCAAAAAAAAAAAAAAAAAAAAAAAAAAAAAAAAAAAAAAAGTGGTAACAAAAATTTCTCCCTATTATAAAGTTTGCAGACTCTGTGGACTTTACACTAAGAAGAATGAATTTGGAATGACACATCTCCTACTCCAAACACACACACTGCTGGACAGAAAGCTCATTAGGATCCCAAAATACTGGATCTGGATGTTTGAAACAGGGCATCAACAACAGCCTTGCCCCAGAATCCCTGCCAGATGTTAGCCCTTTAGAAAGCCTTGAGGATGCTGCTGCTTTCCCAGGTCTGGAGAGATGCTCCCTGCTCCCACTGCTTCCCTCCCAGCCCAGGCTGCCCAGATGGCCTTTTGGGAGCAGGGTTTCCCACTGAACACAAAGCAGAGCCAAGCACCGTTGCTAATGTGGTTTGTAGTCGGGCACACTTCCTTTGTGACAGGAGGGAATGTGGTTAAGGAATGGTGTGGGACACTCCGGAGCAGGCAAACTTCCCCAGCCCTGTGTTAGTCAGTCATTACTAACACAGAAAGGGGAGCAGGGGCAGGGATGAACTGGGGACAGGAAAGACAGCAAAATGTGGGATTTTTAGCCAGTGCTGAGTCCTGGAGAGCATCCTGAGGTGGAAAATAAAATGGGTCCAATCCCAAAGGCCTTACTGGGATCCACACTGAAGCCAACAGAGAATTTGGAGTCCAAGGTTTGCTCTTCTGATGTCGTACCTCTGGAGCTATTTCCTGATCTCTGTAAACTTTAAATACAAATTACCTCCACGCCTACCTCAGAATGTATCAAAACCTAATCAAAATTTGAATTTTCTCCTGCCAAATATCAAAACAATAATCAGATCTGTTGTTTCCCATTTCTTTTCTCCACCTGGTATTGCTGGTATAAAACTTGACTGAGTTTTCTCAGCCCTCACAGCTCCACATGGGCCATACAAAACTCTCACAATACCCTCATGGTCCACAGGAGTTGCTGCGTTTTCTGGGACATATTAAACAGATTGGGGAGTTAAAGAGGCAAAGAGGGGATGTGGCTCAGAATTCTCAGTGCAAGCTGACCCACCTCTGCCACCTCCCCTGGGACAATTCGCTGTGGCCTGACTGGTGGATGAGCAAGACTCTGCTCTGCAGCTCCTTTCCGTGTCATTTCCTCCCAGCCCTTCCCTGCTTTTCCTCCTAACCCTTCCCTACATTTCCTCCCGACCCTTCCCTACATTTCCTCCCTGTCCTTCCCTATCCTGCTGCTTGGCTGGTGCAATTTCTGTCTGCCTTCACAGCTTCCTTCCCTTTTTTTTTTTTTTTTTTTTCCTTTTTCCTCGTGGTTTACTTTCCCTCCATGCAGGTTTTATAATCTGGTTTTTCAATCTGTCACTCCTTTCCCCCCCTGCCTGTCACAGGCAGATGTGGTTTGAGGACAGGGGTGTCTCAGAGCCCCACAGCCGTGGTGAGTGTGGAGTTCCCTCCAGTTTCCCACACCACTCTCCCATTCAGGGCATTCAGGCTCAGGATAAAGGAAGTGTGCCATGCTACAAGCTGAATTAGAAATGGTGTTTGACTTCCCTTTGTACTGCACAGAAACCTTGCTCTGGGCAGACCATCTGCATAGCCCTCACCGTGGAGAAAACCATTGATCAAGGCCTGTCAGCCCAGCTGGGGGAACTTGGGAAAGTAATTCCTTGTGCCACTTCAGTTCTTTAGGGCTTAACATCTGGCTGGAGGGGGAGGCGACAGTTGATGGTTTAACAGTCTTGCTTCCTTTCAAGTTTGGGATGCTGTTTTGATCCCAGATAAGCCGTTCTGAAATCCTGATTTTAATAACATGGAAAGCATCCAGAATAGTAGGAATAATGCACTGGCTTTGCATTTTCAAAGTGCTTTACAAATACCAGCTAATGAATTCTCAGCGACCTCCTCCGTGGGTGAGGATGTATTATTAGCAGTGGTTTACAAAGGCGGGAAAACGAGGCTGAGAGGAGAAAACCAAGATTTCAAGATTTCAAACAGCCTACAGGTCGCAGGCTTCTACGGCCAAGAGGTTGCTTGAGACATCTGGTTTGCAAAAATGCTCAGCACCCGCTTTTGTTTTAATTAGCTTTGGCATCTCTGAATGGGGCCAGCTCCCTTGCTTGTGGGAGGACTTGGATTTCCAGGCTGGACCACACTCACAGCCATGCACCACCCAGATAAGCAGATACCAAAGTTCTCCTTTGCCCTCAAGTGCAGCAGTGGAGCTTTAAAATGTCGTTTAGTATCATTTTTCTAAGCCCATGAAACAGCTGGAAAGGAAGATAAACTCAAATCCCCAATCAGGAAATACTTATTGTTGTGTTCAACAGAAAATAACTCCATCTCTCCAGAAAGTAAACTAAGTTTTCAATTGCTTAATCATACCCCTGCAGACCTTCAGCTGTGCTTAGTCCCTGGGCAAGTCTGTCTGTCAGCACCATGGAATTCTGCTCAGCTGCTTCCCAGCAGGTATGGTTATCCTGGGATTGGAGCTCCTCAGGGAGGGGCTGCAGCGTGCCCTGGATGACCTGGACTCCTGAGGGAATACGAGGAAATCTGACAACGTGCCTTGCCCTGTGGATGGAGATGAGGGCACCCAGCCCTGCCCATGACCTGGCAGCTCTTGTGTGTGCCCCTCTGCCAGTCCTTTGCCTGGCTCAGGGCCAGGTTATCCACCTCCTGAAAAACCCTTCTTGCTTTTATCAGACACCCTCTCTTCATTCTGCTGCCAGCTGAGCGTGGCAAAGATGTCTCCAAACCCCACTGCCTGGCAGGGCAGGACCTCACAGGA